TCTCCCTCACAGAGACATTACAAACCCCTCAAACACTCGCACCCCTTTAGCACTTGGGTTATAGGGGGTGCAGAGCTTAATTGGGTTGCAGCTACTCTCTCTCTCTCTCTCTCTCTCTCTCTCTCTCTCTCTCTCTCTCTCTCTCTCTCTCTCTCTCTCTCTCTCTCTCTCTCTCCCCCCCTCTCCCTCTCTAGTAGGCCTTATTAGCCTGTCTCCGCTGACCTCCTTTTAAGATTTAGGCTTTTAGCAATGTTTGTCAAACGGGTGTCATTTCAGTTCAGAGTTGTTTTTTTTTTCTTTCCTTTTAGGGTCATGGCTTCATTCAGTGCATTCTTTTCTCGGTAGCATCATCATTTGTCAGTTTTGACGCTTCTGAGTGCTATTCTTTCTTAAGGTTTTTTAATGTTTTTTTTTGGGGGGGGTTGATAATATTGATGAACAGGTGGCTGTCATCTGATTTGGCCGAAGCAGTCGGCGTACCTGTGGGAGCTGTCCGGAAGAAGATGTCCTTCTGGGTAAACCAGGTACAATTGCAATCCCCCGATCCTTTTTTTTTAATTAAAAAAAAGGACCGTTTCTCGATTTATGCGTGTCATTGTTGCACAGGGACCATGCTAGTCTTCACTGTATCGTTCCAATTCTAGTGGATGTGCAGATGTCCTGAAGAACACGATCATTCTGGGTGGCAGTGTGGGTGGCCCATAACACAGGCCGGTGATCCTTGTAATCTACGGTCGAGGACGCATGTGGGCCTCTTCCCATATCAAGTACGGAAAAGTTCAAAGCACACTGCATGCTAGTAGCGCATGGGGAAAAAAAAACGATCAGACTGGTTCGTCAATTTTTTGAAAATGACAGAAACTGACAGAAAGTTTAAACCAGTATTTGTTTTTGAAGATTTTTTTGGCCATGCGTTTTCCTCAAAATCGTCTTCTTCTTCTTCTTCTTCTTCTTCTTCTTCTTCTTCGTCGTCGTCGTCCTTGTCGTCATCGTCTTCTTGTTCGTCGTCGTCGTCTTGTTTGTCGTCGTATTGTTCGTCTTCTTCTTCTTCTTCTTCTTCTTCTTCTTCTTCTTCTTCTTTGTCGTCTTCGTCGTTTTCTTCGTCGTCATCATCTTCGTCGTCGTCTTCGTCATCTTCTTCTTCGTCATCTTCTTCGCCGTCTTCTTCTTCACCGTCTTCTTCGCTGCCGTCTTCTTCTTCTTCTTCTTCTTCTTCTTCTTCTTCTTCTTCTTCCTCTTCTTCCTCTTCTTCTTCTTCCTCTTCCTCCTTCTCCACCTTCTCCTCTTCCTCCTCCTCCTCTTTCTCCTGCTCCTCTTCCTCCCTTCATTCTTCTCCGTCATGTGTCGAGTTCCACTTTTTCTTGAGTTGCAATGTATGGCATTGTTTCGCAAAGTCGAGTCGGGCTTGATCAATTGAACACGTTTATAGAAATTACAGTAACCCGCACTCTGCAGAGGCCGCACAGCCCAGCGTCTGGCCAGTGAGACCCAGCGCTGGACTGGGGAAATTCAAAGGTCAAAGTCAACTGTCGGGTCACAGGTACCGTACCCAAGTCCA